TCTCTATATATATATTAGTCACAGTTGGACAAAATACCTTTTTGTACTTATTTTTATGTGGTGCTGAGGATCGAACCCAGTGCCTTGCACATGCTAGGCGAGAGTGCTCTACCACTGAGCCACAACCCTAAAAGGGGACTCTTAATGATAAAGATATTATTTAATCAAAGATAGGAAAAATTTGTTTCTATATATGCCTAATTTGGTCTCAAAATATATATAACAGAAACTGACAGAATCATTGCTAATAGAATATTAATACGGGGAATTTGTATTTTCATGTCATTCCCTATACAGAATTTTAATATAATATATTCATTGCTTGAAAATCTCTTATTTGTTAATCTATCACAGTACTCCGCAACTTTTTTAAAACCTCCCTTAGTAACTGGTAAAAATGAACTGATAAAGTCAAGAAGGATATAAAAGATTTGAACTCAATCAGCAAATGTGATTTACAGGACCTAAGCCACATGCTACATTCTGTAAGTAGAGAATCCACATTCTTTGCAAGCATGCACAAAACATTTCCCAAAACTCTAACTACTTGAGGGACCATGCCCAAGTCTTAACAGACTTTCAAGGGACTGAAATTCTTGACTGCAATTACACTAGATATCAATAATTTAAAAATTTAAAAAATTACCAAAATAACCCTCATTTATTTGGAAAAAAATTAAATCATATCACACATATACAAAAGTCAATCTAGATACCACATTTCAATGATCTGGGCCTAGTACTAAAGAAAGAGCCCAGCTTGGTGTGAGGTGTGCACTAGAATAAAAGAGCAAACTGAGAAAGGGAAGAGGGAAAGGAAAATCTATATTCCTGTTCCAGGTATGCTGGCAAGAAGGTCAGCTTCAGGTAAACTCATATATGGAAGCGGAGAACCTGGAAACTGATTCTGACAAGACTATGCAAGCCTTAGAAAGTCTCCATAAACCCCAGATTAAAAACTACAGGGGCTGGGGTTGTAGTTCAGTGGTAGAGTGCTTGCCTCGCATGCGTGGGGCACTGAGTTCGATCCTCAGCACCACATAAAGCAAAATAAAGACATGTGTCCACCTATAACTAAAAAATAAATATTTGAAAAACAAACTACAGAGAAAGAGGAAAATTTATATATATATGATATACATATAGATATATAAGGACAACATATGAAAAATATATATATAATATATGAATGTGATATAAACAACATAAGCCTCTGAAGAATTTGAAGGAGGTAAGGTACAGATTTAGAAGCTGCTTTGGGGGCATAGTTCTCAACCATGACTACAGAGCAGCCACCTGAAGAGATCAGAATTTTTTTTTTTTGGTACCAGGAATTGAACCCAAGGGTACTTAACCGCTTGAGCCACACCCCCAGCCTTTTCATTTTTTATTTAGAGGCAGGGTCTCACTAAGTAGCTGAGGCTGGCTTTGATTTTGCAATTCTCCTGCCTTAGCCTTTCAAGTTTCTAGGATTATAGGTATGTGCCACAATGTAGCCCATTTCTTTCACCCAGCTGAAAGCTCAGAAATTTTAATGAAAATATTTCAACATAAAACAATTTTTTAATAACAAATTTTAATGAAACCAGAATCACCTGGCAGGAACAGATCATTTTACAGTCAGGCAGTTTCCTCATCTTTGCTTGGAACAAGGTGGAAGGCAGATATAATCTAATAGTCAGATGATACATCATTAATAATTCTGATAGATCACTCACAACATGATTTGGGGTTTAAAAACTAAAGGAAGTTCAAAATATTGAGTGGTCCTGCTATACCAATACTCCAACTCCATCTACAATTTAAGTGAACAATTTCTCAGAATTCACATTAAAAAATAAAAAGCAGATGTGACACTGAAGCCCATATCATTTTGCCTCTAGTACCTTGTCCATATGGTGAGGCTAGGGAGACAACATCTCATTGACATGCATTTCAATAAATTACCACTTTTGTATAATAGATATTCAAAATTTGTGTAATGTATCCAGGCATGGTGGTGCACACTTGCAGGCCCAGATACTCTGGAGGCTAGGCCAGTAGAATCCTTCAGCCCAGGAATTTGAGGTCAGCCTGGGCAACACAGTGAGACTCCATAATAAAATAAAAATAAAAAATTCTGTACTGCACTATTTTGATCAATTATGAACCAATAATCCCAAAGAAAATATTAAAACCTAAATATTAAATCCTGACAAAGTTAAAAAGTTTAAATCACAACACTTATTATGAAGCTGCAAAGAACTATGATAGGTTAAGGAATAAGGGATTTTCAAGTAGTAAATATATTGTATGAAGATAAAGTCCTGTGTGGGGAATGACATGAAAATACAAGTTCAATTTAAACAGACTGAAGTACAATATAAGTTTATTTATATTGCTTAAAAGAAAAGTGGATATCCAGGAAGCAATATTTAGATACCATTAAATATTTAAGAGTACTGAATAGTTTTACTGGAAACTACATCCTTTGCTTTTGGGGGGAAGAGGGGGCGGTGGTGGGATCCAAATCCAGGGCTTCTAGGCAAGCACTGAGCGACACCACTGCAGCTACACTGAAAATATTTCAACATAAGACAATTTTTTAATAACAAATTTTAAAGGGGACATAATTTCAGATTGGGATGTCAGAGGGGAAAAATAAAAGTTTAAAGGCCACTGCTGTAGCCTCCACACAAGAATTCCTCAGGATGGCGCTTGGGCAACCTCTTTAGCTTCCCCATATCCTGTGTTCCAGATAACAGGCACTTGGAGTTCTAGTCATCTCTGAGCCACACCATAGTTCAGAAGGCAGTTCAGGGAGTGTATGCTAATTTAGTACCTTTCCCAGGTGGAGTGTGAAGGTGACAATGAGAAAATACTGAACACAAAATTCTAAGCAATTTCTTTCAGGAAATTTGGGAATCATCCCAAACATTCATGGAATATCAGAAGGGCCTAACAGGAAATTTCCCTGGACCTATATGGGAAAAGGAGGGAAGAAAGGCAAGGTAATATTTAGACTGAAAATTTAATTAAACGTAAGTGCAGGGCTGGGGTTGTAGCTCAGTGGTACAGCACCTGCCTAGCACATGTGAGGCACTGGGTTCGATCCTCAGCACCACATAATTAATTAATTAATAGAAATGTGTCCATCTACAACTGGGGGAAAAAAAAAGAGGTAAGTTCAGAATGCTCAGTCCTGTAATATCTCCAAACCATTGATAATGCCAACCATCAGCTACCTACACCAGTAATTTAAGCCACTATTTTGGATGTATACATTCTTTTGTGGCTAAACCTAATTTCTATTAGTTCTAGTGCTATTTGTACCTCACTTAAAAAAAAAAACAAAAAAACTTAATGCTCTGTAGAATTCATTTCTATAAAAAACATAAGGCTACATTATCATTTTTAAATATTAACCAGGCTAGAGGTGTAACAGTGGCAGAGTGCTTGTCTGGCATGAGTAAGACCCTGGGTCTGATCCTCAGCATCATTAAAAAAAAAAAAAAAAAAAAAAAAAAAAATCTGAAAATCTGCAAGCCCTAAAACAGAATAATAGGACAAAATGTTATTTGGGGGAGATAAGGTGGTTAATGAAGTACTCTGAGTGGGTGGCACTTGAACTGAGACTTAACAGATGAAAAGAAATCAAGCAGGCAAGAAGAACCAGGAGGCAGTGTCCCAGACAGGGGAACAATAAGTGCAAAGGTCCTGAGGCATGAAGGCAGCCAGAGGCTGGAACAAAATCAAYAGAGAATGATTGGAGATGCCAGGCACCAGGAGCCAGACTGTACAGACATAATGCACAGTTATCCTTCAAAGGAGACTCCAGGCTCTGAGGATCAGAGCAAAAACTGAAGAAAGTAACCCCAGATGCCTCCAATAGCAATTTAGTGGCATGGAACAGGAAGAGAAGAGGCAATGAGAGGACAGGCAGATGAAGCAACACAAGGACAGTGTGGGCTCCCAGAACGCAATGAGAAAGTCAATCAGGACAAAAGAGCAGGGTGACAAAGAAAACTAGGACTCTGGCCAACAGTGTGGGTTGTAGGAAGGGTTGGATCAGGCAGGCTAGGGCAGGAGCAGGTTGCTTCCCAAGCTGATACTCAGCTCAAAATTACTCCCTTTTCCCCAACTTAAACTTACTCAATGTAGAGTCTATGCTGATCTTAGCCACTGCTCATATATGACATGCCAGTGACACCTCAGCCTCCCTGACCTCCAGGATAAAGGTCACAGGAATTAAAACTGCCCACAAATCCAGATCCTCCCTCCTCCTCAAGTAGTGGCTTGAACGGTAGGTATGTCTCCCCTCTTGAGAACCACTCACCTGGTGGTTCCAAATAGAGCCCTCTAATGATAACAAGACCCTCAGCCAAGTACTGGGGAAAGGGTCTAGGCCTTTAAGAATGTCAGAGAGATTCATCCACTGTCCAGAAGAAAGGGGATCATGTGTACCAAGTGTACTCCTGGGCTCAGAGAACAAACATATCAATTTAAATGCGGTTTCTGCCATTTATTGGCTGCATTATCTATGCATAAAGACATGCAAACCATCTATTTCAAACAGCCTGCTTGAGAATTAAATGCAATCAGGTATGACAAGGTCTGTGCCTAACACACAGCTAAATACCCAATAATGATCCAGGTTGTTTCATTCTTCCCACGATAGAAGGGGATAAATTCAGACAATCTGACAGTTCCACCATTTTCTGACTATGAGCACTTTCAACTCTAAGACTTATTTTTTTAGTCAGTAAAATGGAGATTACATCTCTTACTGGGCATGGCTTTTGAAGAAATTAAATAAGAAAAGTGTGAAGTGTCAAGCACAGCTCCTGACACATAACTACTCAATATCCATTATTTATTATTAGTGAGTGTAACCAAGATGGAGAAGAAATGAGCGAGGGAGGAGCAGGGCACGCCTATAAACGAAGCTCAGGTCTTGGCTTCTTGGAGTGGCAAGGAGTAGTGGCTTGAACGGTATGTCTCGCCTCTTGGGAACCACTCACCTGATGGTTCCAAATAGAGCCCTCTTTGCTGCGCTCATCGGGGGTCAGACGCACGTACTGGCTCGTAAGCATTGTGCTGCCTTGGAAGTCCCAGAGAGGCATGGAGCTGGAACCAACCCCTGTAGGCAGAGTGACGGACATAAACAGGTGCGTGAGAAGCCATGCCAGGACTGGTATTGAGAAGGGCAGGAAACCCACAGAGCTGCTCTCCTCGAGAGAAAGGGCACGCCCTCCCCCAACCCAGCTCAGCCTTGCCCTCACCCTTCACTCAATTCCTTCCCGGGCCTCACCTTGGTAGGGCTTGATAAGCGAATGCTCCCGCTTGAGGTGTTCACTGTTGCCGTCGGTTATATCCGCAGCCACTGACGCCAGCAACAGAAGAAGATGTAGAAGGGTAACGGGGCCAGGGCCGGGGCCAGGAAGCCCAGGTCTCCCTGGGCACCGCCGGCCCCAGCCCCAGCGCCAAAACCAGCCCTCCTCCGCCATTCTCCTTTCCTCTCGGCCACTTCCGCCCTAGGACTTCCGCCTTCCGGATGTCCTATCTAATGGCCTCCGGCCGGAAACCCTCCAACTCTAATGTCACCGGGGAGTTAAAAAACAAAGTCTCTCAGCCGAGGGGGTGGCAGCTTTACTAGACGGGCATCCCCCTGTCCTGGTTGAGGGTCGTTCCATCACCTTGTAGGTTCCAGGCACCTGCCAGCCGGGCTCAGCAATGGATCCTTAGGCGCCACAGAGTTTCAGCCAATCACAGGGCAGCACGTTAGGTTTGTAAGCCAATGAGCAGAGCAAAGGTCTGAACCGCGGGGAATGCGAGCGCCGTCCTCCGAGCAGAGCACCGTGGAACTTGTAGTTTTTATCCGCTGCTTGCGCGGACTGGATGCGCAGGACTACAACGCCTTTCTCCTCTGGCCTCTGGTCTGGTCTCTAAAAAGATCTTTCCCAATTTGAGGTGGGGGCGGTGAGCTCTAAATTGAAGGAGCAGGCTTGATGACTTCGACTCACTGAGTAGCCTCCGCCCCAGCTAGTTCGAGGCGTTTGGGGACGTAAAATTCCCCGCTATTTGAGGGCCTTCACTGTCCCCAACTCCGCAGGTCCAGTCGGGTTGAAGCAGGAGGAGCAGACCCAGGTCTTGGCCTGGGACCCTAGTGATGGTTGGAACCTGTCTGAATCCAAACCTGGACGGTGCCCTGTCTTGGAAGAAGCATCCATGAAAAGTTCGGCAAAGATGGCTGTGGATAAGAGATTGAAACTAGTTCAATAAATGATTTAATTACCAGTATTTTTAAGTCAGAGTACTTAAATTCACATCGAAAATACCGATTGCCACTTTTTCAAGAAAAAAAAATTAGAAAATCTAGACCCACATTCCTGCAAGAGGACTGAAAACTGGGGCTGATGGGGACTGCCTCTACAAAGGCAGCCCTCTTCCAACCTAGCCTCCCGCTGGCCACTGATGTACGTCAATTGTCTCAATTAATGATTCCTGTTATAGAAACAGGATGTGATGTTGGTTGGTCGCTCCTTTATTTTAAGAACCTGCCCTCTTAAATGAATGAACTTATTTAGCGTTTAGTACTGAGACCTCTTTTCTGGGTCATTTGTTTTATTTTTCTGGTAATGGGAATTGGACCAAGGAGCACTCTACACTGAGCTACATCCTATTCCTTAAAAAAAAAAAAAAAAAAAATTAAGGCTAACCTTGAACTTTCAATTCTGCTTCAACTCCCAAGTAGCTGGGATTATAGTCATGCACCCCCATGCCCAGCTCTGAGTCATATATTTTAAATTATTATTTTGTATTATAGCAATACATTATTATGGTGTGCTTGATATACACCACAGAGTATCCCAAGGGGGGCTGGCTCCAGGGAACCCTCCCAGTATCAAAATCTGAGGATGCTTGAGTCTGTTATATAAAATGGCATAGAGGCTGGGTATGGTAGCAAAGGCCTATAATTCCAGTGACTTGAGAGGCTGAGGCAGGCAGATCACAAGTTTGAGGCCACCTTTAGCAACTTAGCAGGGTCCTACGCAACTTAGTGAGACTCTGGCTCCAAAAATAAAAAGGCTGGGGATGTAGCTCAGTGGTAAAGCACCTATGCACATTCTCTCTTATATTCTTTAAATCATCTTTAGGTTACTTATATCTAATACAATGTAAATGAAATGAAAATAGTTGTTACATTGCATTATTTAGAGAATAATGACAAGAAAAGTCTGTATATACTCAGTACAGATTCGAAAATTTTCCCTAATATTTCCCATCCACAGTTGGTTGAATTGGTGAATGTGGATCCTGCAGATACAGAGGCAGCTGTATATATGTATCTGTATATATACATATATATAGAGAGAAGGAGGGACAAAAATCACAAACATATGTACAACAAAAGTCTTCTGCCTCCTCTCCCAATGGGTCTACACTTCTGGAGATTAACCTCTACCTGTGCAAACAAGGACATGTACAATCCACTGAACTCCCATCAGGGCTGGGATTTTTGTCAACTACAGTCACTACTGAATCCCAGCATCTAGATTAGTGCACATAAGAGGTGGTTAATTGGTGAAAGAATGACTATTTGTTCCAGAACCTGGAATTGGGTCATGAAGAATGAGTAGGAATTTACCAGGGAGGGAAATGGAATTCTCAGTGGAGACAACATGAGATACAAAGTCAAGGAAGATGGGTGCCTGGAAGCATTAGGAATACAACAATTTGGAACAGATAGGAAGAATGTGACTGAAGACGGGGAGTGGCTGAGATCAAAATTCAAAGAGTCTTCATTTCCCCACCAAGGAGCCATTTTGCAGAACTCAATGAGATGGTTTTAAGTACAGCAGTGACTGATGTGTGCATTTCTCTAGTGGGAGTGAGAAGAGACTGGGTCTGTTAGGAAAACTGAATTCATTATGACCAAATAAGGGTAAGACCTAAGCCAAGGATGCCTCCACAGTGAAGAAGGATCAAAAGTCCCATCAGAAACTAGGTTCTAGTAATTGTTCTGCTGTGGGAAACCAGAGCGAGGGAAGTTGAGGTCAGTGTTCTGTGGGGTGAAAGTATTCCATGGAGTGGAGAAGACTAGATGAGGGCTAAGAGATAAGAAATCCCAGGGTTAGCTGGGGCCCCTGTGGGCAGAGTTAGAACTGGCATCCCTGTTGGAGGGTTGGGGAGAGGCATTTCAGCAGCAGCAGGAATGGACAAACTTAATTGGAAATCCTTGTGACTGGGCCTTTGACAGGAGGAAGATGAACTATTTGCTTGTGGGCTGGTGGAGGTTCAAGCCCAGGTCCCAGCACCCAGGGTGCATTTGCCATTTAGCAAGTCTCTAACATGATATATACAGTCTTGGACAACTCACTTCTCTCTGAGCCTCAGTTTCTTGATCTATAAAATAGGAATAATGAATACTACTCACAAAATGGTTGTGAAGATCAATTGAAGTTCTGTCAAAAGACACTATAAACTATAAAACACCCTATGAGCTTAGGCTTGGATCTAATAGGCAGGCTTCATTTATGGCATACATCCTAAACCCCCTCGTAGGTACCACCATTGAGAAGACCACCCTTGAGCTGAGGTTGTGGCTCAGTTATAGAGCACTTGCCTAGCATGCATGAGGCCCTGGTTCTATCCCCAGTACTACATGAATGAATGAATGAATGAATGAGTAAATAAAATCATCTTTGAAAAAAACCCACCATTGACAATGACCTATGTCTGAAAGCAACCCCCTACACAAACCAAGTCTGACTGAATCCCTCTGTCTGGATGAACTGAAGCAAGATGTTTGGAGAGAATCTAGTGTATTAACTAGGGTCACGCTAGTTGCTATAACAAACATACCCTAATGTGTACAATGGTCAAGGAAGTTTGTTTCTGGAGAGCTGTCATAGCTGTCCAGAGCTGATATTCCAGGTCGATGGATGGCATCCTTCATGAGCTAGTGCACAGACATCACTTCTTCCTTCTGTGACTCCCCAATCCCCTAGAGCCTCATTGTCTATATACACCCAGTTAAAAGAGAAAGAGAATGGAGGGCACACACCTACTTCTTCAAAGCTTGGCCCAGAAATGGCACATATCATTCCATTCCCTTAATTGGTGAGAATTGGTCACATGGTCACAAGTACCTATAAGGGGTCCTGGAAAGTTGAGATTAGCCATGTGCCAGGGAGGAACAGGACATGAATGTGTAGTGAGAAGTGACTCAGTTTCTGTCACAGTAGAGTTCAGGTGACAGCCCTAGAAGGGGACAGTGGGGCAGAGATAGATTATGGAGCAGGGAATGTGCCTTGTCTCTATAAAAGAAATATCCCAAACCAGAGTGGTGAGTGACTTGAGGTCTCTAAGTAAGCTCACACTTAGAGTAAAATATAAGTCCAAGTAATGGGGACATGCATGTATAAGTAGGAGGCAAACTGAGGACTCTGGTTAAAGCACCTGAATCTATCTGGTCAGGGCTGAGGGTAGGGGTCACCTTCAGCCACCAGTACTTGCTGTGAACTGAATGTTTGTGTCTCCCCACCCCTGCAATATTCATATGTTAAAACAATAACCTCTAGTGCAGTGGTATTTGGAGATGTTGGAAATGAGGGCTTGCGAGGTAACTAGGCTGTGAGTAGGAATCCCTTATGATGGTGTTAGCACCCCTGTGAAAAGAGACGATAGAGAACTTGCTTCCTCTTCTCTGTTCTTTCACTTGAGGACATAACAAAAAGACAGCCATCTGCAAACCAGGAAAGGGGACTTCATCAGACACCAGTTCTGCCAGCATCTTGACCATCCCAACCTCCAGCACTGTGAGAAATGAGTGTTTGTTGTTTAAGTCACACAGCCCGTGGTATTTTTCTTACAGAAACCTGAGATGAGACAGTCCTACAACCAAGACAGGATTTCTATGCGAATGAAAATGAATGCACATGGCCTTCAGCATAGATGTACCTTCTCTGTTCTCTTACCCAGGTAGGTGAGATGCACATACCTGGTTACATATGTCACTGGCTATATATGGGCCTATATACAGGTATGCCTGTCCCATGTGCCTGTCCAAGGAACAGTGTCTATGACTGAACACCCAGGTGTCATTTATTAGGAAAGCCCAAGTGTTTATAATATGTACACCTGYGTGGTCTGTGTGTGCATGACCATGAACACAAGATGTCTACTGTCTGCACAACTGGGCCCATGCATGAGATGAGAGCCTGTAGGTGTCTGGGATGAGGGGTGGTAAATCTGCATGTGCACATAGCGGGGCAGAGATACTGTGCATGCACACTGCTGGCACACAGTAGGTATGATACACGGGTGTGCTGAGCAAAGTACACATGTGGATATGCAGGACCCAGGGCACATGTAAGCATGTCCACAGGAACCCCTGCCAGGTACACAGGTGCCAAATGTGTGACCATACACTCTGTGTGCTCACACAGAATCTTGGAGCTCCCAGGGCTGAGCCAGACCAGGCGGGGCTCCTCCTTGGGTTCCGGACTGGGAGGCCTCTGCTGTGTATTGATGCCTGTGTAGGATGCTGCCAAGGGTGTGTTGGCAATGTGTGTGTGTGCATGAACGTGTGTGTGTGTGTGTGTGTGTGTGTGTGTGTGTGTAGGAAGAGGCGTTCCCTCTCTTAGACCTTGCTTCTCTCTGTGGTTTGGTTTCTATAGAGACACTTCCTGTGGCAGAAAAAAGAGGTAGTGAGCTGGTGTTTCAGGATGTGAGGGCCCGGAGGAACAGAGCCGGGCTGTCTCTGACGCCTGCCTGCCACTGTGCAAGCTCTGGCCGGCACTGCCCACAGTCCCCATGGTGGGCGGCCCCCGCAGCAGGGACCTGTGATCAGCAGCGGCATGCCAGGGAAGCCCAAGCACCTGGGCGTCCCCAACGGGCGCATGGTGAGTGCCRGCTATGGGCCAGGGCCACAAGGAGGGGGTGGGCACACCCAGGGTGGAGCCCAGGAGGCACACCCAACAGGGCCAAGTAAGAGCCCATGGGCTACCAGCAGGTGGGTGAAGCTGGGACAAACAGTTGCAGGCAGTGGACCTGGTGCCCTTGCTCAGGGACCCTTCTACCTGGCCCTGTTAGGAGCCTTGTGTAACCCCGAGGGTGAGACCAGGGCAGGGTGGGCAAAGGCTTCTGGTCCAGCATGCAGGTAAGGGTGCTGCTCCCTTACCTGCTACTGGTGTGGCCCCACCAGGAGCAGCTTGCACCCCAGGCTAGCAGAGAGACCTGACATGCCCCTGGCCACTGCCCACCTCTACCRTGGCCCCCACTTCTCACTCAGTCCCTGCCCTCCCCTCCTCACTCCATGCCCAGGTACCCAAGGTCAGGTGAGGGGCAGCCCCTACTGGGTCACTGCTCTCTAACTTCCCCTGCGCTGAAAGCTTTCTTCCCAAACTAATTTTCTTTGGGCAGCCTCGGATGGGTCTGCAAGGTCAGGCCAGGTTGGACAGCTTCTGCCTGTCCTGTTCTGGGGCTTTCAGGAAGGGTGGGGGTAGCTGAGGATTAGGATGCCTCTGGCTGCAGCTGCCCCATCCCTTATACCCTCTRTCAAGCTGCTCACCCCATCAGAATTGCCTTCAAAGGTTCTGGCTCTTTTTATTCATTCAGCAGAGGGGGCAGGCTGCTTTGAACCTGCTTTTCTCCCCTGATTCTGGCTCACTTAAAAGAGTCCTACCCCCAACAACTCCAGGAAGGCCAGATAGTGTGCAGCACCCCCAAACTGGACCCTAGTTTAGTACCACAGGACAAATTCAGTAGATCTGGAATGACCTGGGTTTCAGTTTTTGCTCTGTTGCCCCTTACTGGCAGAGGTCCTCTCTGACCCTCAGTTTCCTTATCTGTAAAATGAGGAGCCTGAAATGTATCACAGTCTTGTTGATATGACTAAGTAGAATGATGAACATGAGGTCCTTGATCCATTGCAAGAGCGGGGCAAATGTCAGTCCAATGCTTCCTACATTTTTAGCCCCTCTTCAAGGCTCTCCTGCCTCATCAACAAACTGAWCCACCTCCCAAGCTCCACCCCTGCCTCCAGTTTCTAAGATCTGTCTCCATCTCTCCTTCCGGCATCCCTTTTTTGTTTATCTCCAGGCTAGCTGGGTGGGAGACAGAAAAATCCTCCAAAGCTAGCTCGACTGCACTTCACTATCTTTACCACCACCCAAACTTTGTGAGAGTTCAAGGACCATGGGGCCTTGCACTTCCAGCCCAGGGGCATGATGCTTTGCTCAACCTTCCCCCAATGTCCAGGCTACAAAACCACAGAGGAGCAGTCCCAGGCCCAGCTCAGAAGGGCAGCTGGATTGATGTTTTGGAACAGTGCCCAGAACTGCAGGGCAGCACGTGGGGCCCAAGGATAGACCCAGCCTCTGTCCCTCCAGTGCCATGCATGACTGCTCGACACAAAAGTCATTCAGAATAGGGAGGTGTCCCCAAACTCTGTCCCCAGTCCAGTCAATATCCTGGCTCTTTGAGAGGCTGTCACACACAGGGTACCTTCACCCTTCCTGAACTCCCTCTGTCAGCTCTTGGAATCCCCAGGGTCACAGATTGGCTGCTGGCTGGCCACTGGGCAGCTTTTTGAGGCTGTGCTTGCCTGGGGGAGGGAGGGGTGGACAGGCATGGGCAACTGGGCAGGGATGGGGATGGAGAGGCACCTGTTGGCCAGGCATCTGGTTCCCTCCAAAAGTTACATCCCAAGGGAAGCTCAGAGGAATGAAAAATGTGCCCAGGTCAACTGTTGAGTAGAAGGGTCAGATCTGCACCTGTCCCCTCAGCATTGCCTGGCTCTGATCCTCCCCTCTGCCTGCCGCCACCCCCATCCTTCGTCATCCCCTGCTGATGCAGCTTTAGCTCTCAGCCTCGTCTTTCTGTCACTCAGCTTGTCAGGGAGTTGCAATGAAACTGTCACTTAGAGATGGCTCTCAGTCCCCTCCCAGGAATATCTCCATGCACCCCAGCTGCCACTTCATTTGGGAACTCTTGCTCACTCAACCTTCCTCGGGGTCTGCTGTGCGCTGCCCYTTCTGCGAGGCACTTAAGACTGGAGCCAAGGGCCCTTGTTCTGCCCCAAACATCTCTCAGTCTGGCAAGGCACCAAGACATGGGTAAATCAATACTGAAATAAAATTCAGCTTTGTGTTCGAGCTGCAGGTCAGGGATAGGGAAAGGCTGAGGGGGACCTGGCAGGAAGAACTGAACTTCTCCACTAACTTCATGCCATAGAGAAGATGGTCCCCAAAGCCAGATGGAGAAATGGCATAGAGAGAAGCCTGCATGCGGGCAGAGTGGGCATGGATGGACATGGACCAAGGGGAGGCTTCAGGTGAAGCCTGGCGAGGGGCAGTTATCACATTCTGTCACATCAGGGGGACCTGGTTAGTGTTCCCCTCCTGCCAAGGAGATTTACCTCATAAATCTCATGCATCTCTTTCTGTGTTCCTGGTGTCTAGCCTAAGGTCAAGTGCTCCAGTGCAGGATGGCCATACAGAGGGGCCAATGCTGGGGGTCAGCTAACAGGGCTGGCTTAGGACGAAGGGACCAGGCAACCAGGGTTGTGTATAGACATCCCTGGAAAGACTCTCAGAGCATCCATTTTCTCAAGGATGAAATGAGACCGTGGTAGAGGTGTTTAGGACAGAAGATGTCAGTAAATCACCCTCCCTTTTAGATCTGACCCCTTCACAGGTCATACACAGTTCAAGAGGAACCACAGGCCCTTTACCCCTCCTGAGCCTCCCAGCACCCCTGTTCACAGAGGGAAGCAGTGTAGGAAAGAACTCAGGTTCCAGAGGTAGACAACTTGGGATCTAATATCAGCTCTGCCTCTTCCCACCTCTGATTTCTTTGGTCCTCAGTTTCCTCATCTTTAAAATGGGGGCAACAATACCTGCTGCAGAGATGAATTTACACATTCTTACATGAATGGAGTGAGAACACAGGTGTGAACTGCCAAAGGGTGCCTGTCACAGAGTTGGAGCTCAAGAAATTTGGAACCTCATCCTCACTTCAGTATCCCTCAGGTGCCATCCGGTCCCTGAGGCCTGCTTCCTAAGATCAAAGCATGGCAAACTGCAGCCCAACTGTGGTCAAGGGTGTCACTGGTCACCACACCCTTCCTCACCCTGTCTTCCTCTTTTCTTCCATTCACTCACCACTTCTCCTCCAGCAGGCAGAGGCCAGTGAGCGGTGAGGGAGTCCAGCCCTGCTCAACAAGACTTCCCCAGGCCTGCTAGCCTGTGCAGGTCAAAGCACTGGCCTGGAGGAATCTGCACCCCACTTTGCCACGGGATGCAGCTTTACCAAAACACACCTGTTGATTTCACATCCAGGGCCTCATTYAACCTTCACAGCAGCCTGGGGAAGTTGGGAATGCCAAGCCCCCTGCTACCCCGGAGGAAACTGAGGGTTAGGCAAGAGAAGTTACTTGCCCCGCCATGGCAAAGCCGGAATTGAACTCTGTCCCTACTCCATCCCAGCTCTAGATTTCTGTCCCTATACCTGCTCAGTCCCAACTGTGCTGTCAACAACTAGTGAGGGGGGCTGGGGATGTGGCTCAAGCGGTAGCGCGCTCGCCTGGCATGCGTGCGGCCCGGGTTCGATCCTCAGCACCACATACCAAYAAAGATGTTGTGTCCGCCGAGAACTAAAAAATAAATATTAAAAATTCTCAAAAAAAAAAAAAAAACAAAAAACAACTAGTGAGGCAAAGGGGGCTCCAGATGAAGAACTTCAGGGGGCAGAGGCGGATGCTGGGGCTTCCAGTGACTGGCATGAAGTGGGATGAAGGAAATGCCTGGGCCACAGCCCTAAGGGCTGCTTGGGACTCTGTCAAAGAGGGTGTCTTTGGAGAGGAGGGTTCAGATAGGTTCCCTCTCCTTAACCAGGCCCACCCCCCAGGAGCTACCAGATGCACAGGGAAGAGAGACCCACACCTGGGGACAGGGGCCCAAGGCCAGGCCAGAAGGTCAGTTCTGAGGAACTGGTATTTAATGATGACTGAGGTCAATGGGCAGGGATCTGGGAACATTTGGGGGCGTGTGGAGAAGCAGCTACTCAGAGAAAACAGCAAAGTAGGAAGCAGGAGTGGGTAGGGGTGTGGAGAAAATAGAAAAGTTTCATCAAGTGTAGGGTGGAGGTGAGGGGGAGGGAAACAGGGAGGCTGGAGGGTTCTTAGTCAGGCCCAGGTAGGGTTTTTTTGTTTTTTTTTTTTTAGGGTTAAAAGTGTAATTTTATTTAGATGTTACTTGTACATAATCTATAGTAAGATATACAAACAGATAAAAATTGTTTGACAGGATCTTTTTAATACCACTTTAAATTCAATTTACAACAGCATTGGTAATACTGCAAGATGACAGATACTCTGCTTCATAAAACAAAAATTACTTGCTACTCTGGCTGATACATTCCCACTAGTCTGTAACGGATTAAAATGTATCATGTATTTTAGTTGCAAATCATTACAAAACTTTTACAACCTAGCCACTTGGTGCTCATAAAAGATTTCGATGTGCTAAAAATTTCCAGGTAGGGTTTTAACTGTACCTTGGCACCTGTTGTAAGACTTAGGAGGGTCAGGGTGGGCCGGGTCCCAGAATGGGACCATGGGGAAGGGCGGGGCCTGGAGAGCTCCGCTTAAGGGCACAGACCGTCTATTGAATTTAATGTAGAAATGAAACCTCTGAGAGCTGAACCCAGGGGAGCGTGGGCTGCTCTGGACTCGCACCTTTTGCCCCTTTTGCTGAGTCTGTGATTCCTGGCCCTTGCAAAGGAGAGGGCTCCTCGCAAAGGAGAGGCTGAGAAGTTGGGGAGCAGGATAGAGGCTGGGGGTGTCGCAAGACCAGGCAGCCCCGGTGGAGAGGAGTGGGAGGGCGATGACTCCCAGAGGACTGGGGGAGGGCGGCCTCCCCGGGAAGGAAGAGGGAAGGCAGGTGCGGGATGTTGAAGTGGCCAGAAAGGCAAAAAGCAGGCTGGAAAGAGACCTCGCAGTGGGGTGGGCAAGTGCTTCCATGTGTCCCTGCTGTCACCTGCCTTCCGTCCCCAAGAGTTAGAGCTTTCTCCCCCAACTGTAGGTAGCACTGACATTCTTTGTGGGAGATGACTCTGATGATGCGGGTCACCTGGGGGAGTGGAGAGGCAGGGTACGCGAGGGCGGGGCTGGGGAGGGTTGCAGGGCGTGGTGTGCCCAGGAGCGCGTCCCACACTCTGTGCAAACTTTGTCTCCTGCTCAGCAACTTCTTTTCTTTTTTTCTTTCTTTTTTACTCTTTACAATTTCATTTTTATATGCACATTTGCTTAAAATCAGTGGATTTCTAGGTGAAGTTCAGGTACTGAAGGGCCTTTATCTAGAATCAAGGTATGCTGCAAACATAGTCTGAAGTAAAATGGGAAATAACATCTTTCTGAAGACAGGCTTAGAAGTTTTAATCCAGTAAATTAAGGTGTTTCCTTTCTCTGGTAGCAAGGCTGATTGATACCTGGCTGCTGGGCCACCATTTACAGGTATAGCCAAGAAAACAGGGTACAGACCTCCTAAAAAACAAACCAACAAGCCCACCCCGAGTCACGGTACAGGTTTCACAATTCAAATCACAAAACCTTTGAAAGATGCATTCCCTGCCAAAACTGGGAGCACTGCCATTGGTAAATCAGCCGCTATTCGGGCCTGTGTTCCATGTAAGTCCCCTCAAAAAAGTCTGTCTTGCTATTAGCCACAGGCAGCAGCATTAAGTCCAACATATGGAGATCCATGTTCAGGTAGATTCCTTTCTGCTTCTGGTAGTTGTTCAATTTTGCTGGCTATGATATCAAAACTTGAGTTTCCCTTGGGAGTATCATGTGGTTTATGGTTTTCCATCTTAACCCCGTTGCTCTCCTCCAACAGCAGGTGTTTTTCCAGTTCTTCCTCTAACTCGCTGGGGCTTAAGCTACAACCTTTACTCTGTTCCTCCCAGTGCAGCCATCTTTGGCTGACACCAGCAACTTCTTACTCCAAGCATCAGATGGGAGAGGGGGCTCAGGGAGGAGTTCAAAGTCGTAAAAATAGAAAAGGGCAGCATCAGGCATCAACAATAATTGTAATGTTCTTTGAACATTTATTACCTTCCAGATAATCTGTTGAGCTCTTTATGTCTATTTAACTTATTAAATGGAAACAACCCTTTAAAGTCACCCCATTTTTAAAGAGGAAGAAAATAAGGCACAGAGAGGTTTATTATTATTATTATTATTTTAATATTTATTTTTCAGTTTTCGGTGGACACAACATCTTTATTTTATTTTATGTGGTGCTGAGGATCGAGCCYAGTGCCCCGCACATGCCAGGCGAGCGCACCACCGCTTGAGCCACATCCCCAGCCCAATTTATTATTTTTAACAAGGTTACAGAGCATACATTTGAATTCAGGCTGACTGGGGCAATGTCTACCTTCCATTACTTTCAAAGCAATGTAGATATATCACACTGGCCCCAAAGCCTCTGAGTGCTGTGAGTTCCTTCTAGGGAAGATGGTGGCAGTTCAGTGCCAGTCAGAGTTGCTGTGCTGGGAAGAAACTCGGAACACTTGGCACATCACAGTCTTAAGAGAAGACAGAAAGTTGGGTTTGTACATAAAATCTCTCAATTTTTAAGTGTGAAAAAATCCTTTAAACTTAGAAAGAAAGTTCTGGGAACAGTATAATAATAAGATTTGGCTTACAGATGGCTACTCGGTGACCTGGGTATTACTGTGGTGGAAGCCAGGAATAAAGGAAACAGGGCAGGGGAGACTTCCTGGGGGAAATGTCCCCAGACCTGTTTCCAATGGGAATGGAAATAAGAAATAGGTGATGGAAGCTCTTGTGACAGGTCCTAATAAAAATGTAGGAGGTGAGAAGGAGGGAGGAATTAGGGATGACTCAGGTGATGGGAAGAAAGACAGGGAATGTAGGGAAGCTGATTCAGTACTTTGTTTTGGTGGAAGCAGGGGGGCTTCCATTTGGATTGGCTGAGTTTGAATGGCTCACTTGGTAGAAATGTTAGCAGGAAGTTAGCTACATATGGTTGGAGATGGAGATGTGGGAGAAGGCTGGGGTGGCCAAAGAGCCAGGACAGAGCTAGAGAAGGGTAGAGGCCACCCTATATGGGTAGGAGATCACGAGGAATCCAGGGAGCTGATAGGAAGGTAGGAAAGGAACCTAAAGAAACTCAACAGGGGGCTGGGGATGTGGCTCAAGCAGTAGCGCGCTAGCCTGGAATGCGGGCGGCCTGGGTTCGATCCTCAGCACCACATACAAACAAAGATGTTGTGCCCGCCGATAACTAAAAAATAAATATTAAAATTCTCTCTCTCTCTACCTCTCTCTCTTAAAAAAAAAACTGCTTTCAAATAAAGGCTTTAAAAAAAAAAAAAAAAGAAACTCAACAGTGGGGCTGGGATTGTGGCTAAGCTGTAGAGCACTCCCCTAGCACCCGGGTTCAATCCTCAGCACCGCATAAAAATAAAAGGCATTGTGTTGTGTCCATCTACACCTAAAAATAAATAAATAAATATTTATATAAAAAAAAGAAACTTAACAGTTTTGAGAGGAAGATTTTTCTGTTTCACTAATGATTAGGATTCCCAGAGATGTCAGTTCATGTGTGTTGTGGGGGATGGTGGAGTTGGCTTGTACAGCAGTGCTAGCCATAGTGTGACCCAGTGGCATTAGCATTATCCGGGAGCTAATTAGAAATGGAGAGCCTCAGGCCCCCACCCTGGATCTACTGAACTTCTGACAGAGAGCGGGTCCCTCCTGGGCATTCTATGCTAAAGTTTAAGATCCAATGTTCTAATCTATAGAAATAGCACCCCATGCCTTGCCCAAGATGGGATGGGACCTGTGGTAGACCCTGCACCTCAAGGGGAAACAGTTGTAATAACAGATCATTGACTAGAGAGACCTCTCCTTCCTCCAAGACAACAGCAAGTATTGATAAAGCCTTTCATGTGCTTGCCACTAGTGGTTCTATATGCCATAAATATATTAAACTGATTCAGATGCTCACAACAGCCCCAGGAAGGAAGTTACTATTCTTAGCATCATCCCTTATTTACAGATAGAGGCCAACAAGTGAATTGATTCACCCAAAGTCACACAGCTAGTAAGTGGCAGAGACAAAGTTGCTATGCACACTTGGGCTCATCCATCAAGGGCTGGGAGAAGAGAGAACCAGGGGCCACTAAAAGTTAACTGGCATAAGTCCCAGCATACAGTGTTTGGCGCATGATGGAAAATAAACCTGGGCAGACTGAGCAAAACCCTGACCAAGCAGTGACTGGCTGGAGACACCCAGCACGACTCTCCAGGTAGTGGAAAACGCAGTTCTAGCTCCCAGGAGGTCGGAACTGTCCCTTGGAATTCCTCATTGGGCTCTGCTCTGATTTTCTACCTTGGGTCTCTTCTAGGTTCCGGCTGTCTCAGATGGAGGTAAGTGACAGACTGTGGAGACCTGGCTAGGGGGCAGAGGGGAGGGAGGTGGAAGTGAGTGGGGATACTCTGCCACTTGAGATTTTTCCAAGAAGGTATCTTTTGAGTAGATGCCTACCTGGAGGTGGGGTGGGGCCTGGGACCAGGGAAGGAAGCCGGCCTTACCCCAACTTGTCCATCCCTCTGCAGAGCTGAGCAGCACAGCGGGGTCCCAGGGACAGGGTGAGGGCAGAGGCAGCTCCCTCAGCATCCACAGCCTCCCCAGTGGCCCCAGCAGCCCCTTCCCCACTGAGGAGCAGCCTGTGGCCAGCTGGGCCCTATCCTTCGAGCGGCTGCTGCAAGACCCACTGGGCCTGGCTTACTTCACAGTAAGTTCTGGGATGGGGTGAGATGGGAAGGGCAGATGGCAGATGCTTCTGCAGGAGGAGGGGCAGGAATCGTCGGAGAGGGCATGGATGGAACTTCAGGTTGGTTAGATTGGGGCTCCTCTCTCTCCTCTCCACCATCTAGCCTTTCTTTGGCACCCTCCCTCCTCTCCCAGCTGGGAATTCTTCCTTCTATCTGTTTTCATCTCTGCTTCTTATTTTCTCGGTGTGCCTCCGGATCTGCAGCCATCTGTCTGTCTGGCCCTATCTGTCTGGCTGGTCTCTTGGCCCTGTGTCTGTCCTAGTCACTTTGAACACATCTCCCAGTCTGTGCCTGACTGCCTCCTCCTTTCTCCTCCTCCCAGGAGTTCCTGAAGAAGGAGTTCAGCGCGGAAAACGTGACTTTCTGGAAGGCCTGCGAGCGCTTCCAGCAGATCCCAGCCAGCGACACCCAGCAGGTGGGCTGGGGGAAAAGGGAGCTGGGTCAGAGGGGTGGGGCCCGGATCTGGGCCTTGTCCCCTGAACTTCTTCCCCTATCCTCCTCCCCCAGCTAGCCCAGGAAGCCCGCAACATCTACCAGGAGTTTCTATCCAGCCAGGCATTGAGTCCCGTGAATATCGACCGGCAGGCCTGGCTCGGCGAGGAGGTGCTGGCCCAACCCCGGCCGGATATGTTTCGGGCACAGCAGCTTCAGGTGAGCGGTGTCAAGGGGCGCGGCCTGCGCTGAGAGGGCGTGGCCTCGGAAGGAGACAAATGGGGAGGGGGCGAGGTCAGATGCAGGGGAGGAGCCTAAGCCGTGGTGTGGAGGGGGCAAACTTGGGTGCGGAGCTAGAGCCAAAAGCAGGGGTCTGCGAGTGGTACCGAAGGACCGGCTGAGGGCGGAGCCTACCTGAGTTGGGGGGGGGGCAGGCCCTGGAGGTGGACATCTGGAACTGAGAAGCTGGGAAGAGTTAATGGGTGTACCTGTCTGAGTGCCCAGAAGCTTGGGTGTGCACACCTCTGTTCCTCGGTTGGGACCTGGGACCAGGAGGGGCGTGGAGACCCACCTACCCAGCCCCGTGCTTACTTTCGGCACGTTTGTCTGGTAGATCTTCAACTTGATGAAGTTCGACAGCTACGCCCGCTTTGTCAAATCTCCGCTGTACCGCGAGTGCCTCCTGGCCGAGGCGGAGGGGCGCCCCCTGCGGGAACCTGGCTCCTCGCGCCTCGGCAGCCCTGACACCACGAGGAAGGTGAGGATGAGGGGCGGTGGGAGGCTGGGTTCCCAGCGGACTCTCTTCAAGAGGGAACACCGCTAAGTGCAGATCTGCGCGTGTGAGCCGGTGAATTGGATGCGCGCTGGGGCCTTCCCTGTACCCGCAGAAGCCGAAACTGAAACCTGGGAAGTCGCTGCCTTTGGGCGTGGAGGAGCTGGGGCACCTGCCACTAGCTGAGGGTCCTGGTGGCCGCCCGCTCCGCAAGTCTTTCCGTAAAGGTGAGAGCAGGAGAGGGCCCTAGAGAAGGGGTGGGGGAGTTTGGGCAAGTTTGGGGAATGTCCTCTTCCTCCTTCTTGGCCCACTAACAATCAGTAAGTCAGAAACAAAGAAACAAAACAACAATTAAAAAAAAAAAGAAAAGAAAAGAGGAAGGAAGGAAGGAAGGAAGGAAGGAAGGAAGGAAGGAAGGAAGGAGAAAGAAAAAGAAAAGGAAAGAAAAGAAAAAGAAAGAGATGCAGGTCCCTGAGACTACCTCCTTCCCCAGGTGGTTTGTTCCCATACTAATCCCCAGAAGTTAGGGAGACCTTCATAGTAGCAATACTTCTAGCGACCCACACCACATTGGGCCTCTGCAAGATAGCTCCAAACAGGGTCCTCAAGTGGGGAAGCGGTTTCAGCAGAGGAATGGATGAAGGGAAGTGGGCTATTCCAGCTTATCGCTTCAATTCCCCTAGAGCTATCTGGAGGGGTCGCAAACTCAGCCTTACGCCGAGAGTCTCAGGGCTCCCTCAATTCCTCCGCCAGTCTGGACCTCGGCTTCCTTGCCTTTGTCAGCAGCAAATCTGAGGTAAGTTGACTGCCGGGGGAAGTGGAGTTCGTACAGGTTAGGACCATTATGCAGAGGTCCTTTATGTGATTCCTGTCGTTCCCAGTTAATGTTCCCACTTCCATTCCTGACTTGCCCTGCAAAGCTAATCCCTCCTACTCCTTCATTTCTCCCTGTCCTCACCGGAGAGGTCTTCATGGTCCCCATTCTTGTCATGGGTCCATATCCTCAGCTGGCAGATGTGTGTGCATGTGTGGGTGCCCAGGTGAACACAGCATATATTTGTGTTAATGGGTGTACCTATCTTTGAGTGCCCACAAGCTTGGGTGTGCATGCCTCTGTTCCTTTAGGAGGATGCCTCTTAGCTGCCTCCAGGTGTGTCCTGGCTTGTGTGTATGTCCCGGTGAGCTTACCTGTCTCTGTGTCTGCATAACTTGCATGTGTACAAACAACTTTCCCCAATTCCTGCCCACAATCAGAGCCACCGGAAGAGCCTTGGGAGCACCGAGGGAGACAGTGAAAGCCGGCCAGGGAAGTACTGCTGTGTGTACCTGCCTGATGGCACAGCATCCTTGGCCTTGGCCCGACCTGGCCTCACTATCCGAGACATGCTGGCAGGCATCTGTGAGAAACGAGGCCTCTCTCTACCTGACATCAAGGTCTACCTGGTGGGCAACGAGCAGGTGCGAACCTGATCTGGCCTGACCCCAACTCAATTCCCAATTCACTAAACCAAACCCTAATTCTAACCCCATTCCCTATCACCACCCTCTTTCTAACTTCATCCTGTACCACAACCCTACCTATCCCATGCCAACTCCAAATTGACCCCAGTACCAATATTTCACTTAAACTTGAACATCCACCCATGTTCCACAAAAAGCCTATTTCCCTCCATGCCATCCTGGTTCCAGCTACTGTGATGGGTCAGGGAGGTAAAGCCCGGAGAAGTCACTACTAGATCTGAGATCCCCTGGCTTGACTCCCACCATTCAGACTGTCATTCACACAGGCCCACCTCTGAAATTGCCAGTTGGGGAGAAGCCTCACCTCCTCTGCCGCTCGGGGCATCCAATTGCACCTAACCTCTGAACAACTTTCCTTCTTTTTTGAATATTAATTTTTTAGTTATGGTTGGACACAATACCTTTATTTAACTTATTCATTTTTATGTGGTGCTGAGGATCGAACCCAGGGCCTCACTCGTGCTAGGCACGCACTCTACCGCTGAGCCACAACCCCAGCCCTGAACAACTTTCCTTTAAGTGCAAACTAGCATTAAGTTTTAAAGAGGAGCCTAGGGGAAAATTTGCTTTAAACAAAACCACCCAGGTTTGGCTTGGTAGTACATGCCTGTAATCCCAGCAGCTCCGGAAGCTAAGGCAGGAGGATCTCAAGTTCAAAGCCAGCCTCAGCAAAAGCAAGGCCCTAAGCAACTCAATGAGACCCTGTCTCTAAATAAATTACAATAAAGCGCTTCAGATGTGGTTCAGTGGTCAAATGCCAGGGGGTCCAATCCCTGCCTGGAACCAAAAACAAAACAAAAGCAAAAAAAAAAAAAAAAAACCATCCAGTGAGGGAGGAGAAGGAACAATGCTGCATTCCAGGGGACAATCAAGATTTCATTTACCTAGTAGCCAAGTCCCAAAGCCCTGGTAAGGTAGAGGAGCTGAGGGACCCAAACCCAGGTTCTGCCCTTCAGGCTCACAGGCGGGAGGTGAGCCAGGTCAGAGATGACTAGGAGGAGGAATCAAACCTCCAGAGGGAGTCTCTTGGGGGCAAGTAGGTATTTCTGGCCAGGGTCTGGGAGGCTTCATGGAAGAGGCAGCAATTGTTGAGGATGGGGAAGAGTTTGCCTGACAGCTGTGAGGGACGACCTTCCAGGCAGATGAAAGAGCTTAAGTAAAGGTCTGGAGGTCAATTCTTGCAGGCACCTTTAGGGACCTGGAGTGCAGGGCTCTGAGGGCAACAGTAGGAGGCACTCTGCCCACTCTGATCTCAGGCCACCAGAGCAGCTGCCAGTAGCCCAGATGGGTTTTCATGCCAGCTAAATATAACTTTGCCACCCACACTCCACCTGTCCCTGCCACACAGCACAGGCCTACTGTCTGGGAGAGGCTGTCCCCCTCCCTCCCACACTCCCCACCCCTGGGCTGGCATAGGCAGTGAGGCCTCTGAGTGTGGTAATCACTAGAGTTACTGTTTATGTACCTACCGTGTGCTGGGCACTGTGCCAGATGCTTTACATCTTTGGTCTCATAGCAGTTTTGTGAGATAGGGGGTTTTTGTTTGTTTGTTTGTTTGTTTGTGAGGAGGCAAGAACCATCCTTAGTATTTTTGTTTTGTGATACTAGGGATCAAACTCAGGGCCCCACACATGCTAGGCTATCACTCTACAACTGAGCTTTATCCCCAGCCCAAGAAATGCCCTTAGTAAGGAGGGAATGGAGACAAGCAAACAAGTGTTTAAAAGGGGACAAAACTAACCAAAGGTGTGTGGTGAGGGATGAAAGGTATCCTGCTGTTCTGGTTGACTTTTGCATGACAAGGGGGCAGCTGTCCAAGGGGCAGATCCTGTCCTGCCCTAGCAAGGGCAGACTAGTGATCCAGGACCTGTCTGCCTCTTACCAAAGCATCTCGGTTATTATTTAATGTCCACAGCATCCCTGTTTCCCAAAACCTTTCTGAGCATCCTCCAGAATACTTGCCACTCTTCTCCTTGGCCTTGACCTTATCAGGCTCCAGTTCCAGCCTGTCCAAGTTACTCCATCTGCCTCCATATAGTTCTGTTACCTATGGGCCCTTCTCTATGGGCCACAGTGAGGTCAGAGGAGGAAATAAAGGTGGTTCCCCAAGACCCCCCCCCCATGGCTCAGGGTTGGGGGAGGGACCCTTAGAACCTGCCTGGCATCTGCAGAAGGCCCTCGTCCTGGATCAGGATTGCACTGTGCTGGCGGACCAGGAAGTGCGGCTGGAGAACAGGATCACTTTCGAGTGAGTGTCCAGCCCCCAGGCCAGGTCTCTGGTCCTAACATCATTTCAAGCCTGGTTCTGGTCTATTGGTCTCTCTGTCTTCTCTTGGGCTCCGCCCCCTTGTGATAGAAGCCCCACCCCTGTCTAAAGCCCCACCCCAAGCCAGTTTTGCTCTGACCATTCAAAAAGGCCAGTTGCGGGAGGGCTGGGGGAGAGAGGGGTTGGCTGCCCGGCCCTCTGCAGCCAAGGGTCCTGTGCAGGCTTGAGCTGGCAGCACTAGAGCGCGTCGTGCGAATCTCGGCCAAGCCCACCAAGCGGCTGGAGGAGGCGCTGCACCCCATCCTGGCTAAGCACGGCCTGAGCCTAGAACAGGTGGAACTGCACCGGGTGAGCAGTGGGGCCTGTGACCCGGGCGGGGGCAGTACTGTGGGGAGCGAGTTTCCTGTCCCTGGAGCTGCTGACCTCTCCCCACAGGCAGGAGAGAAGGAGCCGATGGATCTGGGGAAGCTAGTGAGCTCAGTGGCGGCCCAGAGACTGGTTTTGGATGCTCCTCCAGGTAAGGGGACCAAGGCCCTGGGGCTTGATCAACTGGTATGGCTCCGGCCTAGAAGGAAGAGGGTCTAGTAGAGATGCAAACTCCAACAGTGGCTCTCACTGTCACAGGTGGAAAGATCCGTGAAACCCGAAACACATCCCCCTGCCACAGCCAGGTGAGCAAACACCCAGGGTGCATCTTCCATCTGCTACTTTTTGTCTCCAAGTTGTGGCTCTGACCTCACATTTTTGTAGGGATGTCCTCCTAGAGCCCAGGAAAAGGCTTCTCATCCCTCTCCAACGTCCCCCAGTTCACTGGCAGAGGCACCTAGTAGTTCTACTGGGAAACGGCAAACTTGTGATATTGAAGGTACTTTGGGGGGATGGTGGAAACTGGAGACCAGAGGGACTAGAGAAGTAGGGCTAGGGACTATTGAGGGTGGCATCAGAGAGGACTGAGCTAAGACAGGGGACTGAGTACCACTGAGGTTGAAGCAGGAGGGCTGGGGGCCTGGGAGTTGGGACCAGCAGGGCCATTGGTGCTGGTTAGGGAGACTGTGGCCACAGTGAGACAGCAGGACTGAGGTGGGTTCACATAAGCAGCTCTGTGAAAGAGGGCCTGCTGACTGTGGCTGCTCCCAGGCCTGGTGGAGCTGCTGAACCGGGTGCAGAGCAGCGGGGCCCATGATCAGAGGGGCCTTCTTCGAAAAGAGGACCTAGTGCTTCCAGAATTTCTGCAGCTGCCTGTTCAAGGGCCCAGCTCCCAGAAGGCCCCACCACAAACTGAATCATCTGTCCAGCCCAAGGAGGGGCCCTCAGACTCTACTGTCCACCCAGCCCTCTGACACCTGTGTAAGAGTCCAGGCTGGCTGCATGGCGCCTGGTGGGCCAAGCATGTTATGAGTCCGCTTTGCATGCCCTGTCTGTGCCATGGGTGTCCCTGGCCTCTTCCTGCTATGGGCAGGCCCAAGCAAGAAGAGCCAGGAGTGGGTAGAAAGGAGACTCAGAGGAGCCATACCCACAGCTGCCATTACCTGGTCTCTCACAGGCTCATTCAACCATCTTTTGCAGCCAGGTCACTGGGGGGAAGGTGGGTATGGCCCCTTGGTGTGGTTGTGCCCAACACAGAGGGACGGCTTTGGCAGTGCCAGCCTCCCCAGCCTGTGCCAAGTTTTAGCAGTGGGAAAAAGGAGGGGCTGGCCCCTTCTTAAGGAGTTGGTATAAGTGAGGCCTGGGGGTGCAGGTGGGCAGCCCCTTCCTCCACCTGCATAGACTCTACTGGACATATGGATTTTGCAGTTGGCTTGGGGCAGCTGGGTTTGTCCTGGATATATGATATTGTTATTATAATAATAATTATTATTATTCTACCATGAGGTCTGTTCCTTGTGTGCCAGTCTGCCTTATGCACACACACCCCACCACCACCCCCAACTAACCACAATGCCTCTGTTACCAAGGTCAGTGCCAGGAAGTTCTTGGGGACTCAGGATGTACCTCCTGACTTCCTGTTTTCAGAATCTCTCTTCCTGACTGCAAATAATATGGGGGTGGGGGTGCATGTGTGTGTGAGAGAGAGAGAAATAAAAGAGAGATCCCTCCCTTCACAGCTGTGATTCGACTATCATCCAGCTGTTCCATTGTCTCTGTGGATCTGAATATGTCATTCTGGTTGCTGTTCTCTGCTTCAATTTGGGACACAGTGTATCTCTATGCACACACCTGGGGGCTCCCTTAGTGCATCAAAGGCCTATCTTGGGGTCATTGGCTATGGGGAGGCAGAATCTCACCTTTGCCTGCTTTGGCTGGGTGGTCTTCTCTGTTTCTCTCCTGGAAATAGGGAGGACCTCCCGGAGAGGGGGCCCCCAGCTTTCAGGGAGAGAATTGAGTCTTGGTCCCAGATGAGAGAGGTAAGTGCTTCCACAGGGGAAGCAAGGAGACTTGAGGGAGCCTCTCCTGAGGGGTGAGGGGAATCCTTCCTGACTCAAACAGGTCAGGCTGCATTTACTGTCTCTGCCAGGAACTTCCTCTATATTCTCCCTTCTCATCTAACTGGTTCCTCTTCATCCTTAAAAATTATGGGACAGATCATGGGCTTTGCTGGACCACCCTGACTTCCTCTGGGGACTTTAGTCCTCTGCCCCCTCAGCCCATTTTATCTAGCTGGTTTAACTAGGTCCCCAGACTGCTGGGAGGGGCTGATGATCATGCCTGGCCAGTCAGACACTCCATTTCCCTGGCCAATCAGAGTTTGTTGAGGGGTGGTTCCTTAACCAAGGTGTTCCAGTCAGAATTCCAACCTGGGTCATTTTCTACTATCCCCTGGGGATTTGTAGGAAGGACCTACAGGAAGAGACTCTGCATGCAAATGAAGCCAACACTGGAGAGCAGGAGAAAAGATGGAAGGAGAGTCCTGACAAAGTTCACAACAACGTTCACTATGCCTGAAATCAATCAACCACCCCTAGACTTTCTCCTTAGAAACCAAATGTGTGTGTGTGTGTGTGTGTGTGTGTGTGTGTGTGTGTACTGGAGATTGAACCCAGGGGTGCTTAACCACTGAGCTATATCCCCAGCTATTTTTTTATATTTTATTTTGAGACAGGGTCTTACTAAGTTGCTTAGGCCCTTGCTCAGTTGCTGAGGCTGGCTTTGAACTCTCGATCCTCCCGCCTCAGCCTCCTGAGCCACTGGGACTACAGGTGTACGCCATTGCAACAGCTGTGAATTGGGTTTCTAAGACCTGCAACCACAAAAACGCTACTTCATTGACAATCCCAGCAATCTCATTCTCAGCAAAGTGTGCAGGGACAACAGGGCATGTGGGATTCTGGCAGGGGATTGTATAGCACTAGGGTCACTATGTGAGGACAGGGATGGGAGTAGGGAGACAAAGTCCTATCCATTCCCTAACCAGCCATAGACCTTCTGCCAAACTTCCTGGGATGTGGATCTTTTCCTGCGTGGAAAGAGACTCCCTTCTTTGTGCCCCAGAATAGCTAGATGGGGGTACCAGGTAATTGATAGGCTATCTCTCCAAAGTTGGCCGACCTTGCAGGTCAAACCCACCCTTCACCCAATCCTAAACCTCTGCAGATGCAACCATGGTGCCTGTTACTCTTTAGGGACCAATGGGATTGCCCCATGGGAAAGCAGTCATGGGTCAGGTAGAAGATTCCCCCATAGAAGTTAACTTCTCTGGGGGTGTGATAGTGCACACCTATAATCTTAGCAACTTGGGAGGCTAAAGCAGAAGGATTCCAAGTTCAAAGCCAGCCTCAGCAACTAAGGGAGGCCTTGAGCAACTTACTGAGACCCTGTCTTTTTTTTTCTTTTTTTAGTTGGATACAATATCATCTTTATTTTATTTATTTTTATGAGGTGCTGAAGATTGAACCCAGGGCCTCGCATGTGCTAGGTGAGCTCTCTACTGCTGAGCCACAACCCCAGCAAGATCCTGTCTTAAAATAAAACACAAAAAGGGCTGAGGATATGGTTCAGTGGTCAAGCACCCCTGGGTTCAATCCCTGGCACCACCCCCCAAAAGTTAGCCCCTTCGGGAGAGGAGTGCACAGTTACTGAGGTCCCCAAGTTAGATATATTCCATCATTTTTGTCTTCACAACAAACAATGCAGGAGGGGAAGTGACTAGCCCAGGATGCTGCAAAGAATTGTCACTGGTGTTTCACTAGCACTCAGGCTGCCTGATGCAGGGACACATGCCAGGGAGGGCTTGGGCCATGTAGAAGCCCTTGGTGAGGAGCCAGGGCCCTTTGTGGGGAGGTACATTGGTACAGCTACTCTGGGCAGTGATTTGGGAGTTTCTGCTACAAATTTAAAACAGTATGTGACCCCTAGCAATGTCACTAGAGAATCACTCTGGGCATGAGCAGGCCAGATCCTGCAGGGTTACCTGTGACCCAAAATTTGGCAAACAACCAAATGTTGGTGAGATGTAGGGATAATAAAACACACTGTGGCATGTTCATGCTCTACAATACCACACAGCAGGTAAAGAATTAGGTACAGTACTTCCTAATGTGGAAAACTCTCTAAGACAGTTTATTGTTCCATGAAATAAAGCAGAACAACGCATATGGCAAGATACCTGTCTTAATCTATTTTCTATTCCTATAAGTTAATACCACAGACTGGGTAATTTATAAAGAATAGAGGTATGTTGGGTTGGGAGTATGACTCAGTGGAAGAACATGTGCATATGCTGATTTCAATTCTCCACACCAGAAAATTAATTGATTAAAACAAATTAAAATAGAGGTATATTTAGCTCACTGTTCTAGAAGCCAGGAATTCTAGAAGCATGGTGCTGGCATCTGGTGAGGGTCTTCTTGCTGAATCATAACATGGTGAAGTACATCACATGGTGAGACAGAGCAAGCTAGCCTAAGAGCTGGCTTTCATAACAAAATCATTCCCCGGATAACACAGTAATCCATTTATCCATGAGTGGATTGATCCACTAATGAAGGCAGGACCTTGATGACCCAGTCATCTTCCAAGGGTCCCACTTCTCAGCACTGCTGCACTGGAGTCCAAGCTCCCAACACATGAGCTTCTAGGGGACACATTTAAACCATAGTAATGCCTTTACATAAACCACAGACAAGAACCAGCCTACAAGTGCACAGAAAGGAGAGTGGATGTTCTAGATGTATATACACCAAACTAACAAGGAGACACAGAGGAGACTAGGATTGGTCAAAGGAGACTTTCACCTTAGATTGAATTTTTTAAAGGATGCATTTAACAAATAAATTTAATACTGTGAAGAACTCCCTAAGGAACCTTCTTTGTCACTGCTAGCCCAGTGATGCAACAGTGGGCTGGTGCTCCACGGGGCAGCCATCCTTACCTACAAGGGTGAGCACACATTGCACTTGAAGGGATCTGGCCTGGTAGTCAGGTGACTCTGGATTCTGAGGGTTGTGGGAGCTGGAGTTCATTTCCACAGGGAAACAGGTGGGGAGGTTGGCTTCTGGTGGGTTACATTGAATCAGATGGAGCCCAGGACAGACACAGGGCCAAGAGCCACGGAACTCCAGGGGGTGCTGTTCACATTCCTGATAGTCCTGGTGGGGACAGGAWATTYTTTTTTTTTTTTTTTTTTTTTTTTTAGAGAGAGAGAGAGAGAGAGAGAGAGAGAGAGAGAGAGAGAATTTTTTTAATATTTATTTTTTAGTTCTCGGCGGACACAACATCTTTGTTGGTATGTGGTGCTGAGGATCGAACCCGGGCCGCACGCATGCCAGGCGAGCGCGCTACCACTTGAGCCACATCCCCAGCCCAAGGGGACAGGAAATTCTGGGAACGTGAATGTACAGATGTGTCCCAGGGATACCTGTGACCATCTTAGTATCTGTATCCTGAGAACTGGCTTGAGGGTAGAGCAGAGACAAAAAGCAAAAGGAACACTGTAGAACCGGTATCCAAGTTCAGCCTAGGGTGCCGGCTGGCAGGTTGAAGTTGTGGCTGGTGAAGATGAGTGGATGGGAATAATCCCAGTGGGATTTGCCAAGTTCCTACCAGATTTCTGAGGACTGAAGGATCCTAGACCCATACCAAAACCTGGAGCCCAGAATATAGAATTGGAGCTTAGAACTTGGAGCCTAAAGCCTGAAACTGGGGCATGGAGCCCAGAACCCAGAACCAGGACCTGAGGGCCTGAAGTCTAGAACCTGGAGTCAGCAATCTGGAATTGGAGACTGGAGCCCAGAACCTGGAGCCCAGGGCTTAGAACCAGAACCCCAACTTGACATCCAAAAGCTTGACACTAGAACTAGCAGACTGGAACTCAGATCCCAAAGCCCAGAATCCAAAGCTTGGACCTAATAATTCAGAACTCAGAGCCTAGAGCTCCACTCCAGAAGTAGAATTAGAGTAGATTTCAGAATGTGGAGCTAAGCTCCAGGCCAAACACATAGAACCCAGGACCTGAAGTCCAAAGCCAGAACCTAACTACCAGAGTATGGGACTATTATCTGATCGCATGCTGTCTGTGCTGACCATCCTGTCCAGAACCTCACTCTCTGGCCTGGACCCTGAGGTCAGCATGAAGGACATAAGGTTGGAGCCACATGAGGAAGGGAGCCACAGGGAAAAGGTGAGTTCTGAGAAAAGTTCAAAGCAGCCTCAGCTTTTTTGGCCACAGACTTTGACCTTGTCCATAAATAAGTGACCAAGGCCTTGGCCCAACAGGATTAATAATTATACAGGGTGCTTATCCCCTAAACAGGAATGGGGCACCCTCAGGTCAGCAATCCCAGCCCTGGGCCCAGGAAGAGCCTTGGTTTCCCCAACTGGAAAACAGAAAATGTCTCAGGGCCCTGCCTGCTCTGGGTTGGCATTGGGAAGCTCAAATTGAAATCTAGGTTCTCCTAG